AAAAAGAAACTAACACTGTCGAAGTCTTTGTGGATGTCCAAGAAGAAACGCATTTGAACCTAATGAATTCTTATCCTTTAATTATACATCAAACTATCTTATCTTATTGATTAAACTTTTTATTCTACTTTTTACCGAAATTTCAACTACGATGATTGTCAATAGGAATACAGGTCCTTGAATGATAGCAGTTTTTGTCTGAACAAGTCAACTTGTAAAAATATTAGTTATCATTGTTATTATTGGCATAGAAGTATGATAAACCTCTATTGTCCAGGTAGAGTTTTTAGCTGTTGATTATTATTCCCTTTTATTAGAAACTTCCATTCGTAAAATAGCATTAAATGCGTCGAGTCATGGTAAACCTTTGCCTAGGGTCCTTTGCTTTCGGTGTGATCAGTGCAGCTTCGTGTAATTCTGACTCTCATTGTCTACAACTAACAAAGGTAAGTTTTTCAGGCATAGACCGTTGGATCTCTGGTCCGTGACCGTATCCGCTGATCTATTAGTGACTGTATCGCCAAGTATTTGATATTACGACTGCCATAGAGCATTAGTTACTGCATCAACGAATATTGAAAGGTTAGCAAAAACATCCCGATCCCTTGTTACACACTTGGCTCTGAGCACAATCAAATAAAAGGGAGGTAACAAGTAAATAGCCTTATTACATTCCGCTTAGACAATAGAAGCAAAGTACCAAGGAAATTGTTCCATACTTGTTGCATTCTGCTGCACCCGTACAAAACGATTTGGTATTTCATAGAAAATGTATTTTGACAGAAAAGTGATGTATTCATACTATTGCATATTTTCAGTTTATCTGCGAAAATACTATTTTTCAGTTGATCAAAAGCAAAGTGGAAGGCAATTATAATGCCATTCACACTGCAGGAAGTAGGTTTCGACAAAACATGACAAAATGGTAGTTTGGACTGATGACGGATCAACTGCTTTTCAAATAGGATCCTTACCTGCCGCCTCTCTGCGATCGCCTACCGTACTATACTGACATTTACAACTAAAATTTTTTTCAAAGCTTTTCCTTCACTTTCTTGCTAACAGTAATATCATTCACTGAAATGTTTTCTTAAAGATTTGCTCTCTCTCTAAAGAAACGCATCCAAGTGTTAGTCTAAGAAAGAAATAGGTCTTGACCTAATCTATATGATTGGTCTTGCTCTCAAATTTAAACGAGGCAAATAATGGTTGAAATAGAGGTTTGAAAGCTTAGCTATTTGTCCAAAAATGTTATCCTTGCAGCTTTCATTTTCTGTTTAGTTCTAAAGCATTGATATTGCATGGTGTCCATAGATCCAAGCAGCAAGACTGTGATACAAAGTATCCTAAAAATAGAATCAAGGAGCAAGACTAAGGGAATGAATGACGAAAATTAGAAGAATGTGGAGGGGATTTGATGAAAATACTTAATGATATTTTATATAAACAGAATAGGTGAAAAGAAGAAAAAGATGTACAACATCGTACTTTCTAAAGAACTGCGAGAACACGTAACAAAGTATATTCCAAAGGTCTTTCTTGCACTTTGGTATCGGTGGATGCAAAATATAGCAGTAGAATCGAATAGTAACTGCGACGCCTAATAACGTGTTTAGCTTTCATTCTAATTCCAAACTATCATGTACAATCTGCTTATATCCAATATTTAGCTACACCAACTTGTTTTTGTACTTGAAAAAGTAGTTTCTTATAAAAACTTTTGGAAAGATCGCATTGTGACAATATAGTGTAAAGGGGGTTTCTTTCAAACACATTGAATTGGATGAGAGACAAGAAAAATTGAAAAACTGCATTACGAGAAGAAAGCAGAAATTATACCCTAATTCTTAGCCAGAATCGAAGCGATTGACTTTTCATTATAAAAAATAAACGACGGCAACATTGTTTTTAAATGTAAAGAATCAACATAAACAGCTAAGTTGCGCTAAAATTTTCAGCCAGCAGTTTAAACAAGCCAAAGAGCCAACTTAGGTACTATATTACAACGACTTAAGATATCCAGATAAATTTGGCCTCAAGTTTGTTGTAGTCAAAATAAAGAGACTATGATATATGGAATTATTAATACTCCTAGGTGAAAGTTTTAAAGAATCTTTCTAATCTATTCGTTTTTCTTAAAGCTTAAATGCAGAATTCATATTACTTCCATAGACAAATTTTTATATCATTACTTTATGTGAATCCCAAGTTTTGAGCTGTATCTGTTTATCTGAATGGGCTTCAACTTGAAGTTTGCCAGGAAGAAAAGTTTATCCTCTTTGATTATATAGAAATGGAAACACTTTTGGAACAGCATTTTGATTGTGAGATCAATATAATGTTAATTATTTTCAGAACAGCTGCTTGCAGAACTCTAGATCATCAAACTGTTGGCTTAGCTGTTAATACCACATTGATACTCATACGATGTACCATATTAATTTGGTAAAATTAGCACAAAGACAGAATTTAATCTTAGATTTTGAACATTTTTTGACCAGTTGGTCAAATAGAGTTAAATAAGGTATGGGCAAGAGCTATGTACGTTGCCTAAAGAAATAATAACGCGTGAAAAACTGACTTTCGTTCTTAGAACGTTTCTGGTCTACCAACCAAAGCTTGTAGGAGTTAGATTACTTACTTATGGCAATGGTGAGAAGCATTCCACTCGTGCAAGTAGTGTGCGAGATTTCAACGAAAACAGAAGGAGTTCTAGGGAGTTTTCAGGTATAACAATAGGGTTTTCATCAAAGCCTACAAGAATCCATAGACCGATTTGTCCCTCAGGCGATGGTGCTGTTATTATATGACACTGTTACATAAAGTATGTCTAAAATGCACTATAAGTAATTTTTTCTAATTTATGTTGAACTAATTGTCTATGATAGCATTTTAGAGCTTTTCTCCAGTCTGTAGCCACAAGAGCGTCCATTATATTGGTAAACCTTTTTAGAGTTTGATATACGGAGAATCCTACGCATCATGTGTTTGCAATGGGCACCATATATATGACCGGAAGCAGTAAACCATATATATGACCAGAATTCATTAGCGAAATTCTCACGATTTCGGCAAAAATATATATCACAAATGCATTTCAATTAATTGCACTGCACTTAGTCGTGGTAAAGATATGCGAACTTTCAAGAAAGAAAGCATGAACAGCTTTAAGCTGTAAATGAAATTGACCAGGATATACTTCTCCATATGAATTTAATCTTACACCTCTTAGAAAGTAACTGCTTGTAAATTTCAGGTTACCGTTAGTAATTTTGGGTTACCGCCAATTGTATAAACAGAGCACACTTTGGTCTGGTAAGCAGGATGGTGCTACCATCCTGGACATACATTGTTTTCAAGGAGACTTTTCCAGAAAAGTTGATGTTTTTCTTCATGTTGGGAAAAATGATCTTTAATTTATCACGATTCAATGTTGAATGCGTGATTTTGCAGCAAACATGAAAAAACTTCTCGAAGAGAACAGGGGGTTTGAATTTTTAGGGACAACTTAACATAGAAAATTGCAAAAACTGTAAAGTTGTACAAAAATTTGAAAACTTAAAAAGAATTGCAATAATTGCAAAATTTGTAAAAACTGCAAAAATTGCAAAAATTCAAAGATTGTTTTTTTTCTCAAAAAATTTTTCCAGAATGGTACATTTGTTTACCGAGTTCCACTTTTTATACGACCATGATGCAAGATTTCATTTCTTTATTTGTATTTTTTCTTAGTTTCTAGAAATAGCGTAAGGTGTATGCCTACTTTTTACTGATATACTGGAATCAAGAATACAATTATAAGCAGCAACAAATATTTCATACACATTGCAGGGAATAGTTGGAAACCAATTTATGGTACAAACATTGTCACTCTTTATAGATTTATTCATAGATTGTCACTATTTATTGATTGATCACTTCAAATATGATAAATGTCCCTTTTGCTCGGAAATATTCTATATAGATTACTATCTAATATAAACAAAACCAACATGAAAATACTAGAGTAATTTTACTTTCCATGATTGCAAGTCCTAATGCTTATTAACAACTGTAACCAAATTAAGACTGGCATGACTTACAATATAACATGACCAAATGTCCTAAAATGTAATGTTTTTACAATTATTTCAAAAAAATAAAAAATAATTTTTGTCTATAATTTTCTCAAACACGAAATGTATTTTTCAAGTATTCTGTAACAGTTCCGGTTAAAACAGAGTCAAGAAAAGTGTCAATTTTTTTTTCTTTGTGCAATTTCTAAAAAACAATGAGGACAAGACAAGTATTAAGAGTGTCTCTGTAGTTTTTTTCGTTGGTCGTTTTCCCGATCTTAGACTTTGCGACCAAACCTGTTTTTCAAAATGAATTTTCAAATATCAGGGCTTCCGACGAACAACTAATTTTCAAATATCAGGGCTTCCGAAGAAGCCAAATCTTTTGTTATGTGTCTTTCATTTGCCCTTGCCCCCCCCCACTTTCCAGCTTGCATTGGAGTCCCTGAATACCAGAATCTTTCTAGCACTTTTGCTCATTATCTTTGGCAAAATTTAAAGCCTTTATCGGCGCTTAATGTTCTTGTCATACTTTTAGAAACCGTCATTGTTAAAAAGGCTTGGAATGACTAAATACCTGATGACGTCATACACAAAAGAGAAATCCGCAGAAAAATTTAGCAAAGTACCAACAAGACATTTTGAGCACTGATATGGTTGAAGTAATGGCTTAGGTTTAGTCCCATAGAGTCCAAAAGGAATACGTCATGAGAAACATACTTTAAGAATTTTTATTAGAATTTGATTGTATCGAAGGCGTAGCCTAGTGCAAGCATCTTGATAAATAAATTCTGTGGCAAGGTTGTAATTTTTCCTTGATAACACGTTTTTTGTGACTAGATGTAAACAGAAACTCTACGATTTTGCGTTTTCTTATAATGTCTTTTTATGTTAAAATGCCAAAATTCAAAGTAATTTAGCTAGAAGTGATGATTTCAAAATTCGATTTCGTGACGTCATCACCCTTATAGCTGACCTATCGGATTCAGTCGTTAATATAATACTGTCTTCTTTCCTTAGCGTATTCTTCAGTTTTCAAGAGGTCAACATGATTTGATACTCTGTTGTAATTCTTAGTTCGCCAAATTTGAGGGAGCTTCTGTTTTTCATCTAATCACATAAAAACATGTGTTATGAAAAAATATCATGTGACGATGCCTCAGAATTGATTTATCAAGATTCTTGCACTACGATAGGCCTTCGAAATTCTTTTACTCACACCACTTGTTTCAAAACTATATGACATATAAATCAAATTCCTAGAAAATGTTTTAAGAATCATTAACGGAAAAAACAAAAGACTTCAACCGCATAATCAATGTCCATTTTGCCTAAGCTCTTTTTCATTATAAAAGAATTTACGGTCGGTTTCCATTGAAATTTAAACGCCTAAGATCCGGCCGAAGTCACATTTCTCTACCGTAAATAATGCAAGTTTACATAGAGAATTAAAAAATCAAGTTAAACTCAATAAAGTTATCTTGGTAGCAAACCATCAAAGAAGATTATTCGTTGCTGAGTACACATTTATTAAGGATTCAGGTGCCCAAATTAAACCCAATAACCATTTAATAAGTCAATGTTGATGCTCATTTAACAGACTGGCAAAATACAAATCTACAGCGAAGCTCCAGCACCTGCTTGGGCAGATAGGGGGTCACTATCTTTTCTTAGCGAATCGACTCTAAATGAACAAAGCTCATTAGGTAAGAATTAAAAGTCAGGTGGCCCCTCCGGGTGCATTTCAAATCATTCACATTCAAAGTTGAGCGCAGGTTTGTATTGAAAACGCGCAGGCGCTATTGTTCTATCTGACACAAGAGCTCTAAATAGCTCGAAATCTCATTGTATTGTAAAAGGAGCCACATTTGCGAGATAAAACACTTGAACAAGCCAATCGATTGGCAATGATTTCTTAAATATCTGCCGGGCGGATATCTCATATAGATACATGCTCGCAGGCTGTCATATGCGCATCTGAAGGACATCTCTCAAAAGACCGGGTCACATTAGAAGCAAAGAGAACGAGGAAAAATTCAATTAACTGGATATCATCGCGGAAAGAGTATAATAAATTTTGTATCCTGAAAAGATTAAGAAGTATTCTTCTTGCACTGGAGACATTATTTGGTTTTTAACTAATTTTTGGAAACCTAGAAAGAAGTAGCTGTTGGTGGATGAAAACTTGTTAGCTGAAGGTTCTTTGGCAGACAGTATCCTTGAAGGCAACGCCTAGAAAGGAGTTGCAGGAGAAATAAAGTCGCAGAACAGCAGAAAAGGAATTGAGGCCAGAGACAGAATGAGTGCACAGAGCAAAGAGACGGCAATAAGCAACAGTGAAAAGAAGCGCTCGCCAAAATGCGCTCGATGCAGAAACCATGGCTTTGAGTCAAATCTAAAGGGACACAAAGGCTTCTGCCGTTGGAGAGATTGCATGTGCGCTAAATGTCTTCTTATTGTCGAGAGGCAAAGGGTGTTAGCGGCACAGGTTGCATTAAGAAGACAACAGATGCATGAATCAAAGCAGAGAGTTACTCCACTGCCAAGAGGAGACATCTTCCCCGTCACAAGAACGTCTCCCTCACATTCCCCAAGTCTGGATGAGAAAGAAGACGATGGTGAGTTTTCCTAGGGTAATTTATAAAATTTGCTCATAGTATCGTGTTAACTTAAAGCAATTTGTTAACTGCTAGAGAAAAAGGCACGGAGGGAAGACGTAGCAAAGCGAAGTTAATGCCTTTAGAGCGACAGATGAAATATTTAATCATAGTTTGAAGAGACGAGGCAGTACAATGGGATACTCTGGATTTTAAGTGATATATTAGTACCTTTCTTTATAGCAAAGCTGCTTGCTACGCTTTGCCACAATCTCATCGCTGGTCTTCCCCGCGCATTCAGAAATGTTTCTCTAGAAATCCCTATTTGCTAGTAGACGAAACACCGACTGGTTCGATTTAAAACATAATTTCTTCCAACTCGTGAATTTTCAAGAAAAAGTTATCAGTAGAAATTGAAACTAAAGGGATTTAAAAAAATGATTTTACATCAACAATTATAAATGCTTCAACAAGTGTTCATGCTTCCCTAAAACTGACAAGGCTCTTTAGTTTTGTTGGATCAAATCATTGAAGACCACATTCTGAAGTAATAATACCCTGAATTTTCTAGCTGCATTAGGCTGAGTTCCTTTGTTACACAAGTTTGATATTGTTTTTTGGTTGATAAACACCCATTATACAAAGGTTCAACAAAAATTCGATTCCAGCGCAGTCAAACAGTCTCAAATTTTATACGAAAAGTTACAAATTTCATCTTGTTCACAGTGGTTGCTGCGTAATATTGCTTATGACCTAAAATTCTACGTTGATGACACAATAATGTTGAATTTTCATCGCGACGGCACTCAATTCTTTACTTTCAAAGTAGTTTTAGTATCACATAGAATGATAGCTGTGTCGAATAGAGTCATAGACACAGTTTAATACACGTATTTGTCGTTGCAGCATCAATCAAAACAAAATTATATGCAGAGAAAACAAGTCCACTAAATGAATTAAAAAAAGGAAAGGTCGCCTAGTATAGTTTGCAAAGTAAAAACGCAAACTTTTTCATCATTAATGAAAAACTATTACAATGTTAAGGCTGGAAGCATACAATCGATCCTGTGTGTTGGCCTAGCCAAAGAAATGGATCACCGATAGCTGATCGTGCAAAAACTATAAATATTTTGTAGTGAGATAACTTCATAACAATTTTGCAAGTACTTCATATCAGGTATCTTATTTTTAAGCAGTATGAATACAAATGAAAGTTAATTCAAAAAGCACACTAAGAAAACCACAAATTTGATTTCATAATCAATTACTATACAATGTCTAGTTTCAATTCGAACTGTAACTGACAGGAAACGTGATCAGATACAGCATATCAGAAGAAATGTTGAAAAATTTTGTGACCAAATCGCTAAAATTTCTCTAATTAATGAAAGAAGCATGCCGAATGAATAATGAAAGTGCATTTATGTATCTATCTTCTGAAGGAGATATGTGCTTGAGGAGTTAGTCTAGCTTTGAATAATACACACTTGCAATATCAGATGTAGCATGAAAATTCTTTTTAAACATTGTACATCGGATACTTGTAAATCGCTGTTAAAGATCAGTCGGAAAGTCGAAATTAAATTGTTCTGTTAGATGCGACAAGGGCCTTAACAGAAACTCTTTCTTATTAGCAGTTTGAAATTCAAATGGATTTTGCGATAAAATATTTATTAATGAAAGCTTCTACCATTAAAGAAGTATTTAGAAAGCTGGCTTGCAATAAAAGAATACAAAATGTAATTAACTAAAAAACAATAACATAGATTTTGTCAAGCATAGTTTAAAAGCCAAAACTCATTTTGACAGAAATAAGGTATTGCTACACTAGTATCAAATGGTTTATTCTTACTTGAGTATTTTAACATCATAGCAAAAGAAAAAATGCTAAAAATTCGCTGAAACGGCATTACAAAAGATCATTTTCTCTATGGCTTTGGCAAGTTAGGCTTAAAATGTGGCAATCATCAGTTGACAAAACTGTTTTTAGAGTGTGAATTGCAGGAAAATCTAACCGAAAGAAAATCTTCAATTCTCCTAAATTGTCAAAGTTTTAACTAACATTCTTTGTCATTATTTTTCAAAGCTTAAAACGACCTCTGCAATGCGAGACATGGAAAATATAAAGCAAAAAGATGAATGAAATAAAAGAATCTTTTTCAGATTTAACAGAAGCGATAAAAAATTTGATTTCAAAATTGTGTCAGTTTAGAAAGTCGAGCCGCTAAGACAATATGTGATGCATTGATTGGCAATCATACAGATTACTTCATAAGAATCAATTTGAAAAATGTCAATGAGAACTATCGATTGATAAAATGTGTAATCTATTTATTTTGGATTTATAGCTATTAACGGCGAAACCAAATTTGTAAGATGCGCTGTTATTGTCAAAGTCATAGTTACAAGCTGTTATTATCGAACACAAAATGCATGCACCGTTTATTTTATCGAAGAAGCAGGCAATGTCCTGAAAATATTAAGAATCTGCTTGCTAAAACAAGACTCATTTGCATGAATCCATTGCTAAGTGGTTTAATTTACTCATTAAAAAGTGGTTGGATACTTAAATGATATCGTCATGATTTCATGTGATAACATAAGAAGATTTCGATTTTCAATTGTTGATAAATGCAATGTTGAACATGTGATTACAGGATTGGATTAAGGGTGGCCATGATATTATCTGATTTAGGCCATATGATATCTGTTACTTGCAGATGAAGATAGCCATAACATTCCTGCTAGAATAAGCACATTCTTGAACTTACCTATTCAGTATAATTCATACCAACTACACACTTAGCTTCAATCAACAACAAAGTCGTTTAAATGAGCGTACTCTTTTTTTGTCCTCTGAACATATCAACTGTGTGAATGTGAGAAACTCCTAGCAATGGTTTTGATAATAAATTAGCAATGCTAATGTAAATACAAGAGCCAAATTTAATGGCGTCAGTAGTTAGAAAAATAGTACGTTTTTATAAGTACTTTGAATTTTGGCACTTTTTTTCTTTCAAACCTATAGGAAATATTTGAAAATTACAATTTTCCAGCTTTTCTGCTCAGATCAAAAATTATTTCTGTTTCTTACACAAAAATACATTCTTGCTCTGATTTATCTACAGCCTCGTATTAGCTTGGTTTGACTTTTACATATGCCATCTGTAACTGTCTTTTAATTGGATATCACATGGGCGTTGTTCTCGCCTCCTATTAGACCTAAATGGCACATAATTCGTCTTTAAGCTTTACTTTGATGTCAATTTTCTATTGTTCACGGAATCTCCTCCTCAAATTGTCGTTCAAAATGAAACAGCAAGGCACCTGTGAATAAACATGTTCAATTCATTCAAAGAAAGGATAACCCAGCTTTTCATTTCACCTCATTTAGTCCTCTCAGCAGCGGGTTCTTTCAAATTTCAAGGTCTGCGAGCCATCTGTGATAGTTCGTTTATCGCTTAAAACGATATTTTTGCTGCTAAAGATTCATTTTCGCATCGAACAATGTCAAGGAGAAAATGAAGTTATTATTGCCTTTGAAAATGCGTACAACAAGCAGCCATAAGGTGATCTGTATGAGAAAATTTCCAAAATGCATCTAGCAATTCGGAACAAAAAGCTAATCGAATAGAATAGATAGGCCATGCAGCGGTTTTAATGAATTTAATCTTTGGAGAAACATTGCAAATGCGTTCATTCAATAGACATCGGTATTGAGTTTTTCGGTTCTTTTCTATTTCCGAGCGACCAACCAAAAGCACGACAGTAGTCATTATTATATTTTGGAGATTAATCAATTATTATCTCTTGCTTCTTTTCACTAAAAAAATAAACTATTCTAGCAAATTTGATTTCAATTATATAGCAATTAGCCAGAGGAAAGTATGGTGGAGAGGGGTAGGGGCTAGTTATTTAAAAGCTTTGAAACGGTTTTTCATAAGGAGTGCTTTGAAAGCATAATTGCGTTTTTTTTGCAAGTGATTTGTATTCTTGTCAGCTAGTCCGTCACTGACGTTTTACACATAAGACAAATGCTGTTTCTAATGGATGTTTGAAGTTATCATGCCACTTTGCTATGCAATGTAAACAATGTATTCTCATTTGCGAACGTGCATTTAAGCATATGACACCAGGCTGAGCACCAAATCACCACACAATAGGTGGCTCATTAACTATATGAATTGAAAAGTGAAATAAGAATCGTTCTGTTCATAGGAAACAGATGTTGCCTTTTATTGATATCAAACACTAAACTTTTAGTTTGCATATCAATTGAACTGTTTTCTAGATAGACATATGTTCATCTGCTGTTCAGGTTTCTAGCTGAGCAATTTTTATGTAGATGATTACACCCACTTATACAAAAAATATCTTGCTTTCAATGATTTTGTATTAGTGCCCACAATCGTATTACGTATACACCAATAATGTTTACGGCCTCGTTTGAAAATTTTTCCAGGCTTTGTTTTAGGACTTTTTAAGGTTCAGCTAAGAATTTGCCATCACCATTCTGATACAATATTTAATATGCTTTTGTGCTTTTATTGTAGATTTTATGATAAATTTATGTTTGAAAACTTGGGGAAAAGAGCGACAAAACAATTCTATATTCACAGTCATTGTTTCCAAATAGATAATAATATCATACACAAAACTGGATTCATGTTTTGATTTTTTAAGAATCATGCAAAAATTGAGGGATTTGATTGAGTAAAAAGTTGTGGGGATGTAAGCATGTGAAGGATGTGCGAGAGGTGCAGGATGCGCGGGGTGTGCGGGATGGATGGGATGTGCGGGATGGGCGAGAGTTGTGGGATGTGAGGGATGTGCGGGATGTGAGAGGTGCGCGGGATGTGCGGGATGTGCAGGATTTTGGGGTGTAGTAACTAGTCTTTTTGAATATCCCATTTTATTGAAAATCAAATATTGTATTTCCTCATAATGTCCTATTTTTGTCAATACGCTGCTACTACGCTCATTATTCAAGTCCTTTGTTGGCCTTTGGTTTTCATAAAGTCGAATTTGAACATCTTTCACTTTATAAGTGATCAGAGCTCTTTAGAATAACAAAATTTAGCAAAATATATTGAAATCGTTATGTTATCATGTGAGATAATTTGTCTAAGAGCTTTTCTGAGATAATGTCATTGACGTTAAATCAAAGTCATATTATATGCTACACGAGCAAGTCAAAGTAGTAAAACACTACTTGACAAAATCTTACTGGAAACACATTATTGTTTTGCTTATTTTTGTCATTTTAACAGAAGATACAATGTTTCCAACATATTATCGTTGAGTCCATAAATATTTAATCTGTTAACATATTAACAAAATAAAACATTAAACAACTGATGAACATCTAGCTACAAAACGAATAAAAAATTTTGATCACTCTCTAGAAGAAGACCTTTTGGAAGAAAAATATGTTCACTTTTGATTTGGATACCAAAATGTTTGTTGAGTAATAAAATTGCAACGCATATTCCACTTAAGCAACAAGTTATTTGAATCGCAAACCCAAAAAGCCTGAAGTTTGTAATTTATTCATAAAAATATTCCATTCATTAAAAAAGATTAAAATTTAAAGCAAGATGACTTCTCAATATAAAATCGCCATACTGCTTATCAAATTTTAATAAATTCCCTTAAAGAGACACATCTATTAAAAACTAATTGCGGTGACCAAATCAGCTGCGCTGTAGTTTTCGAAACATGAAATAAGCGATTCTATATGCTTGATCACATTGATGCATTGAAAACTTTAGTATTCGAGATTATTTAAATTTTTGGCATTCTTCATTTAGGTCCTTACACGTTACAAATAGCCTTACACATGTACAATTATTCGTTGAAAAACTTTTCTAGCGCAGGAATGTAGATTTAGTAAAATGCCAGTTACTTAGCACTGCCATTATATGACCTCAGTAGCAAAGTGCTTTCTTTCTCTTTTAACTGCTATTCTACTGGGGTTTAGAGACACATTTTGATAGAATAGGGCTATTTTACATGGTTTGAAACGTAGAGAAAAGCAGCAGAAGGGCCAATAGAATTCTCAGGTGATGACGTCACAAAAATGATATTTTCAGTGTTTTTGAATTTCGATCACAAAGCCTAATGTGTAAGAATTTCCCTGAGACATGGCCATATAGCATAGGCTTTTCTTTTCAAGTCACTGTAATCTAGCTGAAACTTTATAAACCAAGCCAAAGTAATTGTAATTGGTTAGCAGGCTTCAACATTTTCGTAGGCCATATCTTACCAACTTATAAACAAATTCAACATATTTAATGGTATTTCGTGGTTTTCTTGGGTTGTGTGGTCAAAGTAAAAGATTTTAAGAGTAGTTTTTATGACGTCACACTATATGTATCTCTAAGACTGGAAGAGTAATAGCTTCTAAACCACCCGTTTTAAGACTATCACTATAGTTTAAGTTCATTTTTTATTCCTATAGGTAATGAAGGAGCTGTCTCTCCAAATCCACGATCAAGTCCAGGATGCCCAAAACCGTCAGGGCCCATAGCTGAAAATACCCTTAGCACAATGCAACATGGTCGAGAAATGCCTGCAGGTAATTCTAAAATCCTTGAATCGTCAGTAAAGTATTGTTGAGTCTTGGAATAAAAGCAGGCATGTCATTAAGAGTTGGAGAATTTCCTCATATTAAACTAACTAAAAAGCAAGCAACAAGCCTTCCTTCACCATTATTTCATTAACAGGAAAGGAAATTCTTCCTTGAAGTAAGAAGATTGTAATATTCAGAACTTTGATAGGAAAGACTCAGGCCTGCCGACAGCTTTTCTGGGGCCTGGGGCAAAAAACGATAGGGCCAGTGATGATGTCATTATATCTGTGATTATTATTGTTGCTTTTACCATTTAGAACTTTTATGCAACTTTTTGGGTACCTCTCAGACCGGGGCCTGAAGCAATCTGCCTCCCTTATCTCCCCTCTTTTGGTGGACCTCAAAGAGTTATTTGAATCCAGGTATTTAGTAGAAAATTTTCTTAGGTTTCCGAGCTGAGTTGCAATACATGTGACAGATTTCTGAGCAAAGCATTATTCTGTGATCCAGTAAGACCAATGTCATTATTTGCTACAGGAATGCCCATTTACCCTTCTAACAACACACCAGATGGAGGTTACTACTACCGGATAAACAGGTTTTTACCACGTCATTTGGAGTCTGCATTTCAGCCACCAGTAGGAGCCCCAGCTCCATCCAGAGGTAATCAATCTATACAAATTTAATTGATACATTAAAACAATACCATTGTAGCTAAATGTACTGAAAACCTCTATTTGTTGGCGAATATTGGTCAATAGAAGTCAGTTTAATGGCTTTATTGAATAGTGAGGGAGCTCGTTCCCTCAGTAAACGTACATGTCGTGACAGTAGGACAACTCGAAAGAAATAACTCATGTACTCCAAACTCTTTCATTTGCGTAGGTATAAGAGTAAGTAAATTGGTAGTAAACAGGTTTTCGAAATATTGTCCATTAATGTCCTTCATGATATTTCGAAAATATCACATCCAGCCTATCGCAAATACCCAAAGAAATTAAGCGAAAACAACACGAAGCAAACAACATGTTTTGCAGTCCTCCAGGGTGCGCCTCCACGCTCCGATTTGAATAAACAACAACAAAAGCTCTATTTACCAAACAACAAAAGGGGGTTCGAACTGCACATAATTCCAATAAATCGCTATTCAATTCACGGTCAACGCAAAAAGTCTTTATGTGAGGAGAGACCATACCAAATAGGTTTACAGGTTTTCTCTATAAATTTGCAAAAGAAGAGAGAAAATTTTCAGTTGCATTTTGTGTACTATTGCAGATTTAGTTTGCAGAAATTTGTTAAACTTTTCTACATTTAACATTGTATAGCTACATAGGCAACGATAGTCCCTTGGTTTATGGAAATGAATCAAGAAATGAACTTCATGAAAATTTTAAGAAGAAAGGTTATTAGGAATATTTATAACTTTTTGAATGCCTTAATCCAGTGTATACTTGTGACATTGATATGTCAATCCTTATTCTTTAGGCTATCCAATGAGCAACGAGATGTACCCACCACGTCCCTCATACTTTCAGTCATGCTCAAGTGGACTAGGACCGAAATCCTGTTGCCATGACAGGCTTTGTAGTATGAGACCTTGGTGCAGCCCTCCTTTTGAATTGGAGCCTCGTCATGAAAAATCACAAGAACAGGCGTCTCGCGTTCTCAGGTCAATGGAATCAAGCGCAATCAAAGTGAATAAAAAGAATCCATTGGAGATGCTAGCAAGACTCTTCCCTAAACAATCGATGCAGGCATTGAAAAGAGTGCTAGAGTCGTGTCAAGGAGACCCTGTGTTCGCAATTGAGCGAATATTGGATCGGTATCCAAGCGAAATGGACATTGACGAATTGCCAGTCCCAGGAGGCAGGGAAAGGCAAAGGTCATATAGCGTAGACGAGGAGATGAAGCCCCCGGAGAGAAGGTTACACGGCATAAATGACGATCACCTCTCAAAGCTGGCAATGGCTTATGACATACCTCTTTCTCTTGGGAAATTGCATCGAGAAGATTACAAAATGAAAGAACCCAAGTGGGAGCAAAAGAATTCGCTTTCAAGCGATTTCAATGATAACTCTCAACGAACTGAATTTTGATTCCACTTAAAAAAGCCACCATTTGCTGACCTAACTAAAACAAAATTATTGTAAATACTTAACAGAAACAGAAACATTTAAAAAGCACATGTGTAGAATATCTTTCAAAATAATGCACAACTATACCCCTGATACTTCTTGAATAGGTTAATGCCCTTTAAGATGCATAAAAATCTCAAATATCATTTAATTGCAATCAAATTATTTCTCGCACGTTTCTCAATAAGAATCTGCCGAGGGCCATGCTTTTGAAAAGGGGACAGGTACAGCTCCTTTTCCCGTTTCCCCCTTTCCACTACTGCTAATAAGTATTGAATAAATATCAACATGGTTGTATTGCCATTAAAACGACTCTTTCCTCCTTCCCTTGGCACGAATTTGTCAACATACGCACGCTAGTACTCTTGCACAAATGTTTGATTTGCATAATAGAACGTAAACCATAGATATATGATTCAAACATACCTGTTTGGTTACAAACATCAGTATGAATTTGCTTGCTTCTCGTTGACTTCTTACTTCTTTTGAAATTTTGAGTGAACACATAATTTGAACCAACACACTTTTCATTGACTTGATTTTCCGTTAATAAATTAATTGTTAAATGCATCCATATCAACCGGAGTCTTTTAGTTGACTGATTCTTCTTGCGCATTCGTGTGATGTGAGAACTTCTCTAGAAACAATATTAGCTGAGAACCAAACGTTAAATATCGATGAATTTTCTCGTCTTACCTAACAAGGCACAGAAGCATGACAATGCTTTGAGCGGACAATAGAATTTCAAATTGCAATGGCTCTTGATGGGGAGACAAGCAAGAAAAAGTTTTTTAATGTGTGAGCAGCCCTCTTTACTGGAGTCGTCAAGAGCATGCCGATTGAACGAAATTATTATTACGCATGCTCTCTTGACTCCAGGACGGAGGGTTGCTTCATTTGAAGGTTTTCGCTCGCTTGCCTGCCCAACCAAAGTACCGTTATTTTCTCTACACATCATGTTGCAGATTTTTGAAAGCAAGCGTTCTAGAATTTCAACAACAGGGCCTCCGACGAAGGGTGGGGGCGGGAGGCCCACTTTTTTGCAAAACAATAGAGTTTTTTTCAAAATCTTTTGCTATGGGTGTTAAATTTTCCCTTGCCCCCCACGCACTTTTCAACCTTTGTCGGAGCCCATGAACAAGTTCTGCACTGGATAATACCAGTTGATTCCCAAAGGTCAACTGCATGATTCTTTCGGGTGTGATAAGATCGTTTGCTTGCACGGCTCATGTAAAGATTTCCTTGTGCGCCTTAAAAGTCAAGAGGATACTGATGTTGATTCTTTAGAAGAAATCCTAGAAAATCCTAGAGCATTGTGGAATGTTTCTAATATGTTTTATTTGGAATAATCAGTATAGAAAAAAAGGAAAGGCCTAGCACAACAGCGAGTTCCTCTCATAGACAGGGAAATAGCTGCGAAAAACCAACAAAATGCCTAATCTCAATTTTTTCTTTGGATTTCTACATTTCAATGGCCAAAGATCGATTTTCCGAGATGGGCCATCGCGAATTATTTTTAAGTTGCATGTGATTCGTGACGTCATTAATAAAAATAATTCAACAATAAAGCTAATATCTCTTGTAATAAAATTCTTAATATAATAAAAATTCGTAATTACAATAAAAATAATTACATATTCGGATAGCTCTAAGACGGAGCTTTCATTTGATGCATAACAAATTCTATTTTGCTGATATCAGCAAATTGACTGAAGACGTCATCAAACCAAAATAGGCCTTTTACCACCACTGTTTCGCAGAATTTTCATTCTTGGACTGTTAATTGTCCTTTCTTAAGATATTCTATCACTCTCTGATAGAAAAACACGTCCATTGAGTAGGTATACCAAAAATTGCTTTACATAGCTCATTAATTAACGTTTCCGTGATGACGTCATATACATAAATTTCTAAAAATAATATAGATAAGATTTTTTTATTTTTGAAAATTACGCTATCTTGTGTTATATATTGCATTTAGTACCAAGTTATAAAATAGTCTTGTTGCCAACGCAGGCAGAGGAAGGCCTTTTTCAAGGAAGCCCTTGATGGATGCTTTGCTGATATGTGAGCTGCAAGAATTGCGACCCAACCACAAACACTTTCAATTCTATTCTAAACCTTAGAAGAAGTTTGAACAAGCTGTTTGAGGACGTTTTCAGCTCTTGTGAAGGACAAATTTAAAGATGACCATTATATATCTGCAAGATGTCTCCCCATTGTTATCAGTAGTGTCAGCGGTTAGGGAAGGTGACCTGGAACATCATTTGCAAGGAGAGTGGGACATGCTTACATTTTTGCTTTCGATCATACAAATCATGCTCGGTATTTATCATTCCAGCATGTTTTTTTTCGAGATAAACAGCAAAAACAAGACCAAACTTTCGAAGAACTAAATATGAGAGGATTTGGTGATATTTTATCAAGCAAAAGTTTTAAAAATATCCATGATGATCTAATAACAGAAGTTGTTAATGGGGAGGGGGAGACAAAAAAAAGTGCTGGACCCCATCGTACAAACACTCAAGCAGTGAACAACTGGGTATAAACCTCGCACATTCATGCAAAAGTTCAGAACGATCTCAGAGAAGAAGTTCGAATTTTAACATCTTCCACCCATAAGAAACTAACACCAGAAACAAGTAGCCTGCATCAGTGGCGGATCCAGACTACCGCCATTACCGCTCGAGCGGTAGTCAGATTATTCAAAAAATTATAGAAACAAGGATCATTCTCATGTTTATCCTACTACTTTAATTAAACCATAATTAATTATTGAAAATATTTGATCGCGCTGCAAACCAAGCCTTTCTTCCTATGAACATGCCTGAAATTTCCACAGAGACAGAAATATGTTTTAATCCATATCGCTATGGAAATTGCGTGCCAATTGCCGAGCCACATGTTTGCAAATAGAAGGCTAGCATGGGGGGATGATGAAATCATGGCTTGCTAGCTAGGGGGGTTGAGTCGGTGTAGAGCTGATTCGAGCTGCACTGAGCGGTAGTCAGCTTGCCTAAACCAATCAAATCGTCAGAAATCACTGCCAACCTGGGGGGATGCATACAAACTTTGTTGACAACCAATGAACAACCGAGTTGACTACCGCTCAGATGGGGGGTTCAAGTAGTACTGCCGCTCAACGCGGCTCAAACGTTACAGAAAGATGGGGGGATGCCTACATATTCTGCAAGTGGGCAAACTGTAACTTCAAAGCCGATGTGACCCATTATTCTGTACAATACACAACTATTCGTAGGAATATATTTTAAAAGAATATTAAATTAAAAGTCAGGCCCACAATATTCGCCAAAAGTATGATTCTTTGTTTAACAAAAGTTGCTCTCAATAATTGCAAATTTTATCTAGCTTTTTAAACTTAGTAATTTTCAACAGGTCTGATTTTCATAAGTAATTGTCCGACTAAATGCGAGTTTTAGGCGACACTTCGAAATTTTGCCAAATTGTTCTTTTTTCTTAATTCGATGGTGTTCCTCATCTAAATGCCGTAAATTTTTTTAGAATATCCTTCCTCAGAATATTGAATAAGATTATTTATTTCTTCTCAAGCTTGTTGTAAGGATACATGAAATTTCAGTAAAGCACCGCTTGTCTCTTGAAAATGGTCTACATAAGAAATTATAGAAAGCAATAATCATTTTAGAAAACCGGGTGTGACCAAGAAATGGGTGTGGTCTAAAGGGTGTGATCAACCCTCTATCTCATTTCAGCGGTAGTCAGATTTTTGGCTGGATCCGCCACTGTGCATTTCAGTCACGTTCAAAGCCTCAAAGCTAAACTGAAAGCATACGGTACCGACCCTTTTCCATCTGAGCAAGCGCAAAATATTACTACTTGCAAAGAAATAGACCACAAAATAATTGAAGGACTGTTGAATGTACTAGAGAAAGGGGACACACTTTAAAAGATTTCATCCAGGAAAGGCTATTAACAGGCAAAGTTGACTTTTACACCCAAGTAGAGAAGGCAATGGTTGATACTGATTTGAAGAAAAAAGCAAAACCGCCAAAAACCGTAACTGCGTTAAAGCAGGAACGTCAAGCAATGGGTGCTTTGCTAAGTAAATCAGTTAGCCTAGAAGAAGCGTTTGCTTTTCCAGTAACATCAGTTCTGCTAAGCATTGCAAATCCCGATTCTACTCTACGACAAAAGGGACAGTGTCAAAAGTGGCACTAGAAGCAATCGTGATGAACCAGGAAAAAGTGTGCGTATCGAAGGTTTTGAAATGGTGCAAGGGAATGAATGGCTGTCGCTTTTTAACCACATTGGAAAAAAGAGTGATTTGATAAAAGCAGCAAACAGATTCTTCCGTCAAGTAGAGGTTCGAAGTAATTTAAAAACACAGATGATATTTACAGAGAAGATAAAAAATGGAGGATAACCAATGATGAGGCTTCAGAGAGTTTTCGTTGCTGTCACGAACAAGCTGATACGCGAATGGTTCTGCATGCTTGTCTTAAAAGATACCAATGTTGTAGTTGTATCTAAAGATACCGATACTCTGATAATGCTAGTTCATTCGTTTAGCATTGTCAAACCCAAAAATGATTGGTATATGGAAATTGATCAAAGTAAAATTGTTGAGATCAGGAAAGTATGCATGTACTTAGCTGAAGATATATGCCAGATAAAGATAGATATAGGTGAAGATTTCAAAGATGAAAGTTCTCAAGAAACTTATGAAAGACAATTCGGAGCTCGAAAGGCTTGATTCTCTTGGAGAATCTAAAGTTTTGAGTCCAGAAGGACGTCTTTTATAACAGAGAACGAGACCTTGGTAAAGACAAGAATAAGAATTTATAAGTTAATGAAAACAAAGTCATCTCAAGCTTTGCCACCCGACCTAGATTCAATCAACCAAGCAATTAGAAGGACGCATTTCCCAACTTTCTTCTGGTTGCGCTTTAATGGCAGGCTTCCTAAAGACATCGACTGCAGTGAAATCGGTTGGGAAAACAATGGCGAGACGGTTTTGCCAATATGGTTTACAGGTAATCACATCTAAAATACACCTTCTAACTCATGAATTCAACTTTCTTGTACCATAATCTACCAACTTCAATAGCATGCTAATTATTTTTCGAGCTTTTCTTCACTTATCATTCCAGATGATCAGCAACCTCCAACACTCGAAACAAGTGAGGCTAGTAAACAAAGTTTCAAGGCCTCGAGGAAAATGTGTTAGGCGAGACAGCAGTTATGACTCTGATTTCAATAGTGACGGTAACTTAAAGGAAATACAAACTTTTAGCAGTAAAATGGATTTCATACTTCTCGGCGATCATCTAACAGTAAAAGTGATAGTGAAAGTGGGGATGATACCTGGCTTCCATTAACCGCTGGATACTTTACTACAGAAGTATTTTGTTATGTTTAATATATCAATGTTATCTTTTGCTCTAGGCTTTAGTATAGATTCGGTAGGAGAAGACGCCTCCTACCGAAATACTATTATTACCGTTTTGAGAAATTTATCTATATGACGTCATTGTTATAGATCGCAATATATCTCAATTACGCTGGCTCGAAACATATATACTTCTCCACGAACCAAGAAATCTCTTTAAATAAAACTCAAACGTACGCCTTGTCTCGTCATTTCTCAGTTTTTCTACACGTCTTTCCTCAACACATTTTGCACTATATTGGAACCTATATTTGCTTACTGTTTATACCGATACAAAGGTCTTACGTAGGTTTTAAATACATCACGAATATCAGTTTCCTTTACCTTGTTCACATACACATTAACAGAAGACAAGTACCTAAATACAATATCATAACAAAACAAATCAAGCTACTTCGAGTCCTCAAGTGAATAAAGCAATATATCTAAGAAGATAACATAACATAACTAAATGCTTGCTATGCGCGCTGTAGAACCCCCCACAGTCATCAAAGAAACGTCAATCAATGAGATATGGAAAGCAATTTTTGGTATACCTACGTGTCTCCACTTTTTGGTATACCTTTT